TCTGGGATTCCCATTCTTCTCAGAGTCAGCCACAGTTTGTTATGATCCACACAGTCAAACGCCTTTGCATAATCAATGAAACACAGATAAACATTATAGAGAAATTGAAAATATAATAAACTTCTACAGTTACTTTCAAGTACTTTGTACAATTTTTTATTTAGTACTTAAAGATGAATGTTATTTAAAAATTCACCCTCACAAATTAGGCTTCCTTAGGAGATACAATGAAAGTCAAGTTTTTAATATCTAACTTTTCTTTGCCCAATATAATATATCTTTTACTAATAATTTTTTAAAGAAATTTTTTTCCGTAACACATATATTTTAGAAAGCTGAGAGCCCACAAATAATGAGACAGAAGTGAAATTGCAAGTTTAGAACCTTGGTTAAAACATACATACAATTGTACACATAAATATTTCATGAAAACCTGTTTTACTGTATGTGGATTAGTAAGTGTAGATTTTAATTTACTATGCTACAGAAATGCCATTTTTTATAACTATATTAACGTTCTATTAATATATGCCACAATTTATTTAACCAAGGCTCTGTAGATTGTTAATTTATAAAAAATAACAAAAATATATTTTTTACAATGTTGATATATTGCTGAATCTTGGTACATGCTCATTTCTGTATTCTTAGGCAGAAATTATTTCATATTGAATGCTAAAAGGATTTTTATGTATTTTGGGAGTTTACTTTGTAAATAATGGTATTTATATGGTATACAAATGTTGGTACTTCTGACCCAAAGTCTTGACTGTAAAATTTCAAAAGGACTGATTAGTGAATAACTTTCAATACTTTATTTACTCTTTTACAAATAATATTTGAGAGTGAACCTATTTGATTATAGATGAAATGGAAGCATTATTTTTAAGTATTTTGACTTCTTTAGAAAGAAAAGAAGTCATTAAATACAAAATAGTTCAAGATGTTTCTTTCCTTAAGAAAAGAAGGAAAAAAGTCATACACTGTTCTTGAAGTTCTTCATTTCTCTGCAAGAAATGTCATTATTACATTCTTCCTGATGAAAAAGAATAGATATATAAACACTCTTTCATACTTAAATTCATTATTAAAATTTTTACTTAAGAATTAGAAAGTGATTGCTTTGAGGTTTAAATAATTGGATGAGGGAAAGAAATTTTTTAAAAAATGTAAATAGTTTTTAACTTAATGAAATATTGCAGTAGCTGTCCCGTTGTTGCTGTTGAGTACCATCTAGTTGGAACTGACCCATAGCCAATCGTTCCACAGGTTTTCAAAGGCTGTTAAACACATAGGAGGAGATTTCCTATCCTCCTCCTGTGGAGCAGCTGGTGAATTTGAATTGCATGGCTATGGGATTGCAGTGCAGTTTCTTATCATTAGATAACCTTTATTATTTTTCATTTCCTAAACTAGTAGTCTTTTTGATTACCTCTGGTTTCAAAGAATTTTATTACATCTCTGCTTTTCACAAAACTCTTTAATCATGTTTTTTTTTTTACTTAGCCTGAGTTTAATAGTAGGTTTTAGTCCTTCTCATAACCAGCACTATTAATTGGCATTTGAAATTATCACTTCCTTCCTGGAAACTAAACAATTGAGAGGTATTTAGCTCTTGCTCCTACATTTTGAATTTGTAATCCTGGAAATTTAAGGGACTACAAAATTGCGATTAGAACCTGAATACTTGCTTAAAGTTAGTTACAAATTTATGTACTTTTAAAAAATTTGTTGTTGTTATGTGCTGTTGAGCCACTTGTGACTCATAGCGACCCTATGTACAACAGCTCTAAACTCTGCTCTGTTCTGTGCCAATCTCATTGTCTCCGACACATCCTGATTGCCCCAGTCACCGAATCAGTCCATCTTCCGGAGGGCATTCCCCTCCTGAGCCTGCCCTCCACCCCACCAAGCATGATGTCCCTCTCCAAGGACTGATCCCTCCTTACAGCATGACCAAAGTATGTTAGATGAAGCCTCAGAATCCTTGCCTCCAAGGAGCAGCCCGGTTTAACCCTCTCCAGAATGAATCTGTTTGTTTTTTTAGCAGTCCATGGCACCCTCAGCACTCTTCTCCAACACCAAAGCTCAAAAGCATCAATTCTCCTTCTATCCTCCCTGGTCATTGTCCAGCTCTCAGATGCGTAACAAGTGATTGCAAAGACCATAGCCTGTACCAGATGCACCTTAGTCTCCAGAGACACACTATTGCTCTTGAGTGCTTTAGAGAGGTCCCTAACAGCAGACTTTCCCATCGCAATACGTCTTTTAATTTCCTGGCTGCTGGTGCCAAGAGTGTTGATTGTGGATCCAAGCAGACTAAAGCTGTGAACAATCTCAATCTCTTTTCACCATCCATCCTGATACTGCCAGTTGGTCCAGGGGTGAGAATCTTTGTCGTCTTGACATTTAGCCTCAATCCATATTGAAGGCTGCAGTCCCTGACCCTCAGCAGGAAGCGCCTCAGGTCCTCCTCAGTTTCAGCAAACAGGGTTGTGTCATCTGCATAACGCAGATTGTTTATAGATCTTCCACCAAACTTGATGCCACATTTCTCTTCATAGAGCCCAGCCTCCCGGATGATCTGTTCTGCATACAGGTTTTAAGATTTATGTACATTTTAATAGGAGTTATGTGGTTCTTCTGTTCTGGAAATTAGAATAGAATTTCTTGTTTTGTGGTTTCAGATTATTGGAAGTCAGGTTTGTGGAATGTATTTGTATTTTCTCATAACAAAAAATTTTTCTTACCTGATTAAACCTCATTTCTCATTATTTTTTTCCTCCCCCTAGATTTTTAAAAAACAGGATTAACATGTAAAAGATTTTGCTGTCACTTCACTTTTGCTCTTACCTGTTTCTTAAAAGCAGTATCAAATCAGCTGTTACTTAACAGGCATGTTTCAGGATATTATTTGTGCACATATTCAGTCACCAACCTGTTATTTACACTTCTAAGTTTACCTATGTTTCCTAGATTTGACATTTTCTTGTAAGTGATATTTTATCTCTTATTTTAAGCTTTTATTAGAAATAATTAAAAAAAAAAAGAAAAGAAATAA